TGCACTTCACTGATTTAATCTCTTCACTTGGCAGCACTGAAACATCATCCTGAACCAGGGTGCAGCACATGATAAATATATAAACACACCAAAGTCAACCCTTCAAAGTGTGTCAGCACACAGAGGGTCTGTCTGGTTCAGTGAACTCAGCTCAGCTGAAAACCAGGACTTTATACCTGCTTAGAGTCTGCTCCAGCTTTAATATAGGGTGACCATATTTCCACTTCCAAAAAAGAGGACAGGAGATCTGTGCCTACTAGGGGTTGTACGAACTAGTCGACTAGTCGACTTCACGGCTCTGTAGTGACTTTTTATGCCTGTCATCAACTAGTCGCTGTCACGTGATAATGACTGACAAGATGCAGTCCTCGGAAAAGACAGCAGGTGATGAGCCCCTGCGCGTCTGGATCGAGGCGGAGGTGACGTGCTGTGCGGTACTGACACCGGCGGTAAAACGGACATTTAACCAAACTGTGACCTTTTCCCTCTTGCAATTTAACCTTCCCCTCACCCCCATCCTAATCTTAACCAGTTTGTGCATGCGAAGCTCTGATCGTTGACACGCTCCAGACATTGCGTCCTGAGCACCGCCAAATCAGGTGTCACCACCTCAAAAACAAATTAAACACGCGATCGTTCATGTCGGCTCATTTCCTTTCATGTTTTCTGTCTGTTATTTGTGCCTGATGCATTTCGCTGCAGCGGAGCGAGGCTCTTCACCTGTTTTGTTCTCCGGTGACGCACCCCCAAGATTCCACTATCTCCGCTCCGCTCCGGCATGAACTCCGCAGCAAAAACGGTCCCGTTGTAGTCGGCCGGCGAGCAGCGGCACTCCGCTGTTTTTGCGGTCGGTAAATCTTTTAGAACTGCAGTTCAAAGGTAACTCATAGGGTGAATATATATGAACGCAGGTAGCAGTTTTTCTTTAGGATTGAGAGGAGATGCAGGAAGATAAACAGGCAGAACAGAAAAATAGTCAAATAAAAACACGTTCGTTTTTGTACCTGGTGGATGCAACAAACATACACGGTGTATGTTACACCACTGAAGGTAATCAGAAGTGAGGAACAGAAAATGAAATAATTATTTTAATGTTTAGAGCAGCAGGAAAGGCTGCAGGCCATCAGTGAGTTTGCGGCTGCTGCGCAGGGGGAGGTGGGAGAGGACTGAAGTAGGATGCAGAAACTACCGTTGTTAAAAGAGATGTGTTAACTTAGAAAATGTGGGCGCAATTTTAATTGTCAAAAACTCCAGCGAACCTACCGACCGACCCCCCCCCCCCCCCCCCTCGCTTCCGGCGTATGACGTCATCAACGACTAGACGAAGTCGACTCGACTTTCATTACTTGACTGTCGACTTTAAAAAAAATAAAGTCGTGCAGGCCCTAGTGCCTACTGATGACATCACACTATGGCAACGCCACACAAACCACGTTGGGACCCTTTTTTCCCAGGTGAAGAGCTAAAATTAAAATCAGATTCTGCCAACAAAATGGCTCTAAAACAATTCATGTGTAAATATTTTGCATATTTACTGCAAAATCTCATTTTTCTGCTGCTTAAGTGCTGCAACAACATTTTATGAATAAGAAATTATTATACCTTTTGTTTTATTACAGCATCTGTACGCTTCATGTGCACAGAATATTAAGGATGCTTGTTTCAGCTGTGAGATTAGACGATAGGATCAATGATGAAACAGTTTGTCATGGACTCCATGGAAACTTTCAGAGAATCCACAAATAGAGGCTTTCAGATGCTTTTGTTACTGACAGATGTTTGTGAGTTTAGAAAAGAAACCGATGACAGCGTGTCCGACAACTATGTTTTTCGTCTGACAATATTAGAAGCTGTCAGTGATGTCTGAGATGGTCTAAGGAGCTTTGAAAGAAAAGCGTCTGGACTTCTTTGAGTTGCTTGAAGACGTTTCACCTCTCATCCAAGAGGCTTCTTCAGTTCTAAGGTCAAATGGTGGAGAGTCCCAGATTCAAGCCCAGTGGGAGTTTCCCCCCGAAGAGGGAACAAAAGACCCCCTGATGATCTTCTACATAAACACATGAGCTAAGGTGTGAGGGTGGATGTGGGTTCTATTCTGCCAGAGTTTCAGGTGAGCTCATTGTGAAGCCAGGCCCCACCCTATCATGTGAATTCCTGAGGTCATATGGCCCAGGATATGCGTGGGCATTGAGGCATCTGGGAAGGGATCTCAAAACTGGATTATAGATGGCAGACAGTTGGTGTCGTAAACCACCGCCTCTGTTCAAAGATGGTTGCTCACAGTGGACATAAATGGCTTCCTTTACTCCTCTTTCAAACCATCTGTCCTCTCTGTCCAAAATGTGAATGTTCTCGGATGAGAGGTGAAACGTCTTCAAGCAACTCAAAGAAGTCCAGACGCTTTTCTTTCAACACTCCTTAGACTACAATGACCTGGATGACTGAGAACCTTCACAGACACGATGTCTGAGATGCTTTTACAAACACTGTATAACTTCTGGGGAGCCCAGTTATAGGGGTGAGGGGTGTTCTGTTTTGCCTTGGCCCCCCAAAATGCCTTGAAACGGCCCTGGGTTTGTCTGAGTTTTGAAGGTGATCTGAATTGTATCAGATGTATAAATATTACATGTGTGTAACTTATTGTTTTATACAGGTAAAAACGTGTAGTGGAGATAAATCTATCTACATTTTACTTTTCAGCACTTTGCTTTGTTTTCTTGTTTTTATTTAACTATTTCCTGTCCTGTCTGTCTCTCATCTTCCTGCATCTCCTCTAAACTCTCCAGAAAAACTGCTGCCTGGATTCTTACTTTTTCAACTCATCAGTTACTTTTGAACTAAGCAGATCAAAGGAATCTCCTGACCGCAAAGCGTAGTGCGCGTCTCGATGCTGCGTCAGTGTTACGAACCCTGAGTTCCCCGGCACTCAGTTTCTACTCTGCACCGTTTCCTGCACCATTTCCAGGACCATGGAGAGCGCCCGGCTCCCTGGCTTCACTCACGCAGCTGACGCCCATCAGGAATCACCCAGCTGGAGCGAATAAAGATCAGCGCTGCTCAGACGGAGGAGAGCGAGGGAAGGCAGAGGAGGCACAGATGCACAGAGAAGAGAGGGAAGGCAGAGGAGACGGAGAGAGGAGAGCGAGAGGAGAATGCACAGAGAGAGAACGCAGAGAGAGAGGACTGGAGAGGAGAGGATTAAAAGGAGACCTGTGGTTGAGAACTTTTGGGAACACATAGTTGCCCCCGGATGGTTAATTTCCACCTGCTTGGGAAAACTTTCAGGCTGATGTTTGCTTTCCCCTTAGCTCTTAACAGAGCTGACGGTTGTGTGGGTGAGTTAGTCACCAGTGGACTTTTGGTAAGGCCTCCGGGCAAGTTTCTGTTGTTCCTCATTTAATCACTCTATTAAGTTACTTAGTCCTCAGTTTTGTCTCCAGCAGCATAAGTTAAACTCCCCTTTTAGTTAAACAGGTTTTTCTCCCGTTGGGACGCTTTTAGTTAATAAAAGGACTTTCTTTGATTGTTACTTGGTGTCAGATCATTTCCTTTAATTTCTCACATTTCTGTGTTAGACCTCCCTGGCTCCTAGACCAGGTTGGGGTCGTAACAGTCAGTGAGGTGAAATCACCGCAGCAAACGATGAGTGGAGTGTGTCAGGAACGATTAAAAGACAGAATACCAGAGGGTTTAAACAGATATGAATGATCATGATGTTTTTTTGTTAGTACCGATATTCTCGTGTTTTCTTCCCTGAGACCGTTTGTCTCAGGTGTTTAGGGTTTCCTCCATCGCCTGCGTTAGTTATTTCCGAGTGTAATTGCGTTTTGACATTTTTCCAGTCAAGGACTGAGTAATTGTGTTAGCCCTGTGTTAATAAAAATACATTTTATTCACACTCCCCCTTTCTCCGCACCAGTTTTTATGTTACCCCTCTACCACAATGTCTAACAACATCTGGGTTTGTAACATTAACCCTGAAGTTTCCATTGATATTAAATAGGCCCTATCAAATAAAAATGATTTAAGTCTAGTCTTAAAAGTAGACAAGGTGTCTGCCTCATGGACTAAAGCTGGGAGCTGGTTCTACAGGAGAGGAGCCTGATGGCTAAAAGATCTGCCTTCCATCCTATTTTTAGATATGCTGGGAACCACCAGTAAACCTGCATACTGAGAGCAACGTGCTCGGTTAGGAACGTATGGAACAATCAGGTCACTGATGTATGATGGAGCTTTATATGTGAGAAGGAGGATCTTAAAACCTATTCTGAAGTTAACAAGCAGCCAGTGTAGGGAAGCTAAGACAGGAGAGTTATGATCTCTTTTTAATTCTCATCAGAACTCTAGCTGCAGCATTTTGGACAAGCTGAATACTTTTAACTTCATTCTGTGGACTTCCTGAGAGTAATGAATTACAGTAAACCAGTCTTGATGTAATAAATGCATGAACTAGTTTTTCAGCATCACTCCTGGAAAGGATGCTTCTAATCTTAGCAATATTCCAAAGGTGAAAAAAGAAAATCCTACAAACCAGTTTAACGTGAGAGTCCTGGTCGAAGACACTAACGTTCCTTACTTTGTTCTCAGAGACTAATTTAATGCTGTTCAGGTCAGATGATTGGCTAAACAATTTCCTTTTCTGAAGTTCCGGTCCAATAATGAGAACTTCAGTCTTGATTTAAAAGCAGAAAGTTTACAGTCATCCAATTTTTCATGTAACAGGAAGAAACTTGCAAAGAATCCTGGAGCCATCCGCCATGAACCACTTGGGATTGAGAAGACAGAGCACATGCACACACACACACACACACACACACACACACACACACACACACACACACACACACACACACAGGCTACTTTATGACCATGTGTTTTACATGTTTAAAACACTTTATTATGTACACATTTTGAGAAAAGGTTGCAGGAAACACATTTTCATAGATTAACAATATTAATATAAAAACAGGCATTAAACAAGAAATATGACTCACACACACGAGTCATGTTTTTATCTGAATTTTGTTACGATAAAAACAGAATTCAATACCAAAAGACAATCTTGAACAATAGAGGAAACATCAGCTTGAGGTAAACTCCAGAGGAAAAACATGACAATGTGTTTATTTCCAGTCTACACTAAGCAGATCATTTCAGAACATTAATATAAAAATAATATTATTCTTATTTCTATGCTGAAGGATTGTTGCTTTATTGTTCAGTGTTATTGATCACTGCAGCTGTGAGAGAAGAGCTCCACAATCATCCAGCCTGCCCAGCTCCTCCACCACCTCCACAAGCCGCTCCACCTTCTCTGATGGCAGCACCACCTCTGCGTTGCTTCTGAACTTCTTGCTCAGGCTCTCGTTTGTCAGCGGGTTGCGCCAGTGGCCGTAGAAGGTGTCACAGCGGCCCTTCAGGATGTCTCCTCCAACTAGAGTCACCTGGACTTCTCCGTACATGCGGTTGAAATTGGCGGGGTTGTCCTCAGGATGCTCCATGCGAACACGGCTCAGCAGGAAGTGCAGCTCTGGGCGGCTCATGGCGGGCGGGCTGAAGGACTGCACGGTCACCTCACCGTCCAGCAGAGCGCTGCAGGCGTTAAACTGGAAGGAGTGGCGGGCCTCGTGCTCTGACTCGGGAAAAGGCCTGTTGATGTATTTAGACTGGGGGACTCTGAGCAGGATGTCCTGGACCTGATGTGGGGACACCTGTCCTAGACCATGTCCCACAAGGAGCTCATGGACCGCAGCTGCAGCATCAGCTACCCAGTGCATCCCCAGATGAGCAGGAAAACGCTTAAAAGCCATGTCCTGCTCCTCTAAAGGGAACACATGTCCACCATCATCAGGTGACTCTAAAGGCTGAGGAACATAATCTTCATAAAAGGCGCTGAAGCCCGCCACTCCTGCAACAGCATCCAAGACCAGAGGACTGGCCTCTAGGCCTCTGGAGGCCAGCAGAGCAGCTTCAAGCCCCAAACGAGAGGCGTTGCCGATGTGAAGGGGCTTGGACTGAGTGGCAGCATTAGCCATTGGAGCTCCAGCTAGAGAAGCTGCTATAGCCAAGGCATGACTGCACTGAGACGGATCCAGAGACAGGAGACGAGAACAGGCTGCTGCACTTTCCATAGGACCCACCACAGTGGGAGGATGGAACCTGTTCACACACACACACACACACACACACACACACACACACACACACACACACACACACACACACACACACACACACACACACACACACACACACACACACACACACAGTTCATTTAGGACATTTATTCTGTTGTAACTGAAACAATCACTGATCTGCATCACCACTTAAGAACGTTTCTATTGGTTGAATCTTTAGAACAAGATGAATTGATTTGACTCGTTTCAGGTCACCTGAGTTTCTAAAACACCCACCAGATGAAGGGTTTGGTTTGTGCTAATTCTGTTAACGTTACACCAAGAGCCCCTGCTGTTCCTACAGTAAGCATCATTACACTGACATCACTAAAACAGCCTCTTACACCTCAGTGCTGAGATCAGCACAGTCAAACAAGGACGTCTTTAAACGAACGTGTTCATGAAGATCGTGCTAAAATCAGACTTTCTGGTTCAAGCTTGACTTGTGCTGTGAGGCACTGACCTCTTGGGAATGCAGCGTGCTTTATTAGAGAACCTCATCAGACGGCCCTGGATCTCAATGCCGACATTGAAGGCCAGTAAGAAGTCCAGACCGCTTGGTTTGCTGTTAGCCGGCATCATGTCACTGAGAGCAAACAAAGCTGGGAGAACAGCTCCTGAGGGATGAGTGGCTGGATGCCACGTGTCGTCAACGTCCATGGAATGAGTCTGGAAGCAACCAGAGTTTGTGTCTCATCATACTGAAGCTGAAAGGAGTCAGAATAATAACTTTTTCTGTGAGGGTCATAACTAGATCAGAACCCAGCTATGAACACCTTGCCTGTGCCGTGTCTGAATGATCCACTTCTTTATGATTTTTTTTTCTGAAGTGAACACTGACATGTTTTCTGTTCCTGGTGTGTTTTCAAAAGAAAAATGACTTTCATTCCTAAATCCAGCCATCGAGGGGGAAGAAAGTAGCTTCTTTGGAAATGTTTGATGGGAAACTTTAAGGCCAGCTCAGCTGATTTTATTTCTATATCCTAACCCTGTGGTCTTTGGGAGCCACGCTGCACCAACAGCTGAGAAAAGCTGTTTATACAAAATGTTTCCACTGATGTTTATGTGGTTATTTATTTATGGTTGTTTTCCACTTATGTTTCTCACCGCTACTCCATTAACGAAAGCTGCCAGTGTTGGGGAGAGTCTGATCCCTCTGCGTCCGTACACAGAGCTGATGTGATCCGGAGCATACATGTGCTAAGAACAAACACAGAAACAACCCTACATTCACTCATCTGTTCTGGACATATTTGGGTTGGACCTGACCCAGACTTTCACTTTGCCTCACCTGGCAGAACTGAAGAGCCAGCTCAAACACATCTGTCCTGCTCCCTATCAGTCCGACCCCGATGCTGTCCAGCACCATCCTTTTGCTGCGATGGAGCACAACCGGAGACAAATGCTGAGGCTTTATTTCACTGATGAACTTCCCAAAACTGGCTGTGACCGTATCTTCTGGGGCTGGGTGCTTCTGGACTGCAGGAATGAAAAGATAAAGTTGTTTAATAAAGGTTATTAATTAAGGTTATTATTATTATTTTTAATCAAAGTCAGCATATCTGTTTGCAGTGTTATGCAGTCTTCTGGCAGCCCGCACTGGTCTGATGGTTTTCTTTGGGACAAAACATAAATCAGAACAAAGCATTTTAGTTATTTTTCACATCTCAGGATGACTACAGGCTGATGAGTTCCTGCATTAACTTGTTCACGTCTTTAATCTAATGTTTGTGTTTGAAAGAGCCAGTGTAGAGGTGTAACAGGTGTTTCCCAACATGAGTGTTCTCCTCAACAATTAGCAGAAGTTATTTTATAGTTCCCTGCCTTGGCCGCACTACAAACCTCTACTTTTAGATATTTTTATGACTTCTTTATTTGAAAAGGACTTAAAACCATCACTTTAAGTGTCTGAAAACTGACTAAAAGCATAAATATGTCTGTAATCTTACCTGTAGCGTGGAGAACATGACTTCAACTTTCTGTCACAATGATCTTGTTTCTTGTTTCTCTTGGATGCAGCAGCTGAGCAGTGAAGGATGCTGATGCTTTTGTGGCTGAAAATCCACCTGCCTTATATAGTCCAGGACTTACAATGACCGGAAACACCAAAGGAGCAGGAAGGGCAGGTTCCTTTTGCAATCCTGCATCACATCAGAATGAGACTTTTCCACCCGGGTCATTATCTGTGGTGTAACGTTCACCATCATCAATAGCCTTGAGGGGGAGGAAGGAGAAAGAAGGAGGAAACGCCACTTTTGTGTAAAGTGAAAGGCAGCGATGTCACCTGTAAGTATGCTGCTGTGTGACAGAGTGGGGAATTCTCGGTAACTCCTCCTTTACACAAACAGATCATATTTAAGGCAAACCTTCGTCCCTCCTTCAGCACAACTCAGCTTTCCATCAGTCTGAACAACTTCAACAGGTAAAACTTTGCTCTTTATTTAATTGCTAACAGGAGTAAATATTTTGTTTCTGCGTGTCACCCATCAAAGATCCTTAAACCTATAGCTAGATTATTATATACTCTGCTTTGTAGATTGAATCAGACCTAAATCTGCATAAAGGATGCTCCCTGACAAGAGTTTATTTATAAATATTAAAACTATTATTGCAATATCCTGTAGTTTTTCAACAACATGAAAATAACAGTAATGTTAGGGGTATTATTCTATTGATAAAATTGTTTTCTTTTAGAATAAATTCTTCCTCTTCAGAGAGCCTGTTAGAGGAGCGTCGTAATAAATGACTTTTACATTAGTTGCATGACAAGAGTGGCTCAGCCTACTTATGACAGGCAAGGACCGTTTTATATTATATTATATTATATTATATTATATTATATTATATTATATTATATTATATTATATTATACAGTCATATTAAAATTCATATATAAATGTTGTTGTTGAGGATTACCGTTTTAGACTTTTATCTTATGTTACCTGTACTGACTGGATTGTCTACAGAAACACCATGGCAGCCTCAAACGGTTTTCCTGCCAGTTTCTATGGAGAACCAGGAGTGTTAGGAATGTTATCCAATGGGATCAGTGCATTCCTTGTACTTCTACAGAACTTCAGCACAGCTCACACTGGCATTAAACCAGTTGGAGTGGAGAACATACTTGCAGGTAAAACTCTTGACATAAACACAAATATCTATTCATGTATAAACCTGTGAAGGTGGCTTACAGCAGTTTCTAACACTTCTTCCAGGTGTTCATCTCATCCTGATTGGTGGTTTGTGCCAGCTGGTGGCTGGACTGCTCTCCTTTAGAAAGTACGATCACCTGAGTGGCACTGCCTTCATCGGCTACGCTGCCCTTTGGGGTAGCTATGGGGCGACCAGAATCTACTATGGTGCTTTATTTAACAATCAGACTATACCATCAGTGTCAGAGCACATGTTCAATGGTTCAACCACCAACATGATGGTCAACACTTCTCTTCAAAACTCAACACAGTGCCACTTATGTGTGTCCATAGAAGAGTCAGCCATTGCTGGTCTGATCCCTTATATCCTTCTGTCCTTTATCCTGGCATTTTGCTCTGCCACGGTCAACTACATCATGCCTTTTGTTTTTGGAGCCATCACGGCCACTTTGATCTTTGAAGCAGCAGCTCTGGTGACAGGCCCTTGGGCTCTGGTGGTCTCTGGGGTTCTGGAGCTGCTCATTTTGATCTTTGCCATCTATGGTTCAGCTGCTCTACTCATCAAAGGGCTGACTCAACGTCTGGTTCTTAAAGGCTTTGGGACCCCCCTCTTTAATGTTCTCCTGCTAGGAACCACCAACTCAACAGGTGCTCAGAAACCTGGTCAAGAGAAGAAGAAGAACACAAAATATGCAGAGCCCATGGCCTTGGGATTCTTCTGTGACTCTATTGCTCCCTTCATCGTTGCCTTCTACAGCTTTGGGTACATGAAATCGTTTGGTTTAGGAGTTGCATGGGTATCAATCATCTCAGTCGCCCAGCTGTTCTCCAGCTACTACGCTCATTTGCGCCAGGATAGCTACCACACTACAAAATTTGGGATTCATGCCATGTATTGGCTGATCAAGGCTTGGGATGAGTTTGTGGCATCTGCCCTGATTGTGGAGCACAGTCAAGTTGTTGCTGGTAGGGAAGCCATGGTGGGAGACTGGTTCTTTGTGGTGGCTGGCTTGGTGCTCTGTGTGGGAAGCCTGAACATGGACACTCTGGAGCTGATCCACAACTTGCTCTTTGTTCTGCTCACAGTCTCAACAATCCCCCAGATCCCCCTGCAGGGTTACTACATCTTCTTTGGTGTAGCCTGCTCTCTCTTCACTGCAGTCTCAGTCTACGGTACCTTCTCACGCCTCATAAACACCATCGCAGAGAAGTCTCTAATCCCTGTGGGACCACAGCCGATCTCCTCCGAGCAGCTGAAGAGAGCTCTGATGTGTAGAAGATCTCAACAGGGAGAACAAAAAGAGCTGCCCAACAGTGACCAGGCCTCAGATGCTCTGTTTTATCTCACCAACGGGGTTGCAGCACTTTCAGCTCTTCATTCAGAAGTGTCAAGTGGGAACCCTTCATTCCTTCATCTGACTGTCCCCTGGGTCCTCATCTCTGGAGGCATCATTCAGACCTATGTCAGCAGGCTACAAGTCACCGGAGAGGGCCGGTTTGGATCAGTCATCTCATCCATCTACGTGGTTGTATGGGCAACTTGGACGTGGTTTCGATTTGCAGGTATGTCAGCATAAAGTATGAGCAAAATACATTTTTTCTGACTGATTTGAACAATATTCTCATCAGGAGTTATTGTTCTACAGGTTTTCAGCTTCAGCTCCCCGTCCTGGCAGCCTATGGATTCACAGCTGGAGGCGTTGCTTTACTGGTCATTAATGCCTTCCTCATGTTGATTGGTAAGGTCTAGTATCTGCTTTCAGCGCTGGAAATCACAATTTTTATTCATTCATAATTTTGTAC